ATGATGGATACTACCTCCGCGGGGAGATATGACGTTCCAAAACGACATAACTCCGCGCGGTATGATGGATAATACCTCCGCGGGGAGATATGACGTTCCAAAACGACATAACTTCCTCCGCTCGGATGGAAATAGCTCCGCGGAGATATGACGTTCCAAAACGACATAACTCCGCGCGGTATGATGGATAATACCTCCGCGGGGAGATATGACGTTCCAAAACGACATAGCTCCGCGCGATATGACGGAGAATAAATCCGCGGGGAGATATGACGTTCCAAAACGACATAACTCCCTCTGCTCGGATGGAAATAGCTCCGCGGAGATATGACGTTCCAAAACGACATAACTCCGCGCGGTATGATGGATAATACCTCCGCGGGGAGATATGACGTTCCAAAACGACATAACTCCCTCCGCTCGGATGGAAATAGCTCCGCGGAGATATGACGTTCCAAAACGACATAACTCCGCGCGGTATGATGGATAATACCTCCGCGGGGAGATATGACGTTCCAAAACGACATAACTCCCTCCGCTCGGATGGAAATAGCTCTGCGGAGATATGACGTTCCAAAACGACATAACTCCGCGCGGTATGATGGATAATACCTCCGCGGGGAGATATGACGTTCCAAAACGACATAACTCCGCGCGGTATGATGGATAATACCTCCGCGGGGAGATATGACGTTCCAAAACGACATAACTCCGCGCGGTATAATGGATAATACCTCCGCGGGGAGATATGACGTTCCAAAACGACATAACTCCGCGCGGTATGATGGATAATACCTCCGCGGGGAGATATGACGTTCCAAAACGACATAACTCCGCGCGGTATAATGGACAATACCTCCGCGGGGAGATATGACGTTCCAAAACGACATAACTCCCTCCGCTCGGATGGAAATAGCTCCGCGGAGATATGACGTTCCAAAACGACATAACTCCGCGCGGTATGATGGGTAATAGCTTCGCAGGGAAATATGACGTTCCAAAACGACATAACTCCCTCCGCGCGGAGGGTGATAGCTCCGCGGGGAGATATGACGTTCCAAAACGACATAACTCCCTCCGCGCGGAGGGTAATAGCTCCGCGGGGAGATATGACGTTCCAAAACGACATAACTCCCTCCGCACGGTATGATTGGAAATTGCTCCATGGGCGGCCTCTATTGTACAACTGGCGCTCTCTTTTAGCAATTATTTCAACTATACGTCAAGCTGCATAAATTACCCAGCTTGCCATCTTTTGGCAACTGCTTGAACTATGCTTGAAGTGCGCTCAATTGAGCGGCTGGCGCCATCTCTTGGCAACAGTTGGCACTATGCTTCAAGCGTATGCTCAAAAACATCCGACAGATGGCTAAGTTGCATCCGACGCCGTACATATGTCATATTTACTGGAGCCAGCTTTGGGCAGCTATTGAAACTCGGGTTAACGCAACGCCTCAAAAGCATGTTACAAAAATGTCCAATAGATGGCTAATTTGCAGCAGTTTTCGTAGATAAAGGAAAATCGCGTTCAATATGAGTTTATATAAGCAGAAAATGAATATTTGCATAAAATGCGTCAGGACTTAAGCGCGATATGACTATACAAGTGATTGCTTGCAATTGCTGCGCCATCTATGTAGCAACGGGCGAAGCGTTATTTAAATTAACGGCCCGCTCACAAAAGTAGGCTTTGGAAAAGAACACTGCACATTTGACCGACTTGCCAAATGCCCTGCAAATTAAACTTAAGTGATTGGATTTTTTTTTTTTTTTTTTTTATTTTTGTAACATTTTTATTTAAATTGCTTATCAACTTAGAATTCGCCATAAACTAAAATTTGTTTTTCTTCACATTTTTTTGTATATTAAATTAAACTAAATAAGAATACGCACACAAAATAAGTAAGTGTATTAATGGAAGCATAACTGTTGCAGCATTAACAAAATTCATAGATTACAGTTAAATGTAATTGCTTTTTTTTTTGTTTGGTTTTTTTTTGTTTGTTTTGTTTTTTTATTTTGATAGAAATATTTGTTACATTTTTGTCTTTTTCGTTGTTGTTTTTTGTACAAAGTAAATAAATGTATTTAAATATATGTGGGTGTGTGTGTGTGTGTGTGTGTAAAAATTAATGATAAATCAATAAAAACGAGAAACTATATGTGTATATATAAGAAAATGTAACTGGAAGAGAAAAACTTGGTTTTTAATTTTTGTCAAACAAATCGTTATCGATTTCGATATCGATACTGTTATCGAACCAATTGTTAGGTTAGATTGAGGGAAGACATTGTTTATCGTTTTTCTTTCAAATGAATTTCGTAACGAAAAGAGGAAGAGCTGACGCTCGCGCGCGTGCGTGTGTGTGTTTCTCAAGAACCAAAACTTGTGCTTAAATTAAATATAGAAATAATTTTGTTTATATGTAAATATATGTGTGTGTGTGTGTGTGTGTGTGTGTGTATACTTTAGTTTAAATGTATGCGTAAAGCAATTTAT